TAAAATTAAAAATATTAATTGAAGAAGAAATAGGTGTAATCTATTATGGTGTTAGAAACTAAAAAAATTGAGAAAAAAATTATAATCAAATTCTTACAATGATGTTTTCATTGATTTCAACCTATATAACAAAAAACAAATAGATACATGAACATAGTAGAAGAAGATGAGAGAATGATTACTTATAAGATGATAATCTAAAATAGAAAATGGAGATGAATCTTTAAAAAAATAAAAAAACTAATGTAGAAATTAAAATATTGAATTAAGCTTTTACAATGATATTTAATTTGAGTTTTTTAACCCATACAACAACAACCACAACCTAAAAAAAAAAAAAAACACAAAACAATAATAAAAAAAAAATTGAAATATAGTGGAAGAAGATGAGAGAATGAGAGAATGAGAGAATGAAAAAATGAGTATTTATAGGATGAGAAGTGATAGAAGTTACAATTTAAAAAAATGAATATGGGAGTTACAATTCTAATTGATTGTGTGTTGAATAAAATTGAGTGGAGAATATATTTAATGCATAATTTATATGATTTCAGTTTTATATTAAATTGTGAATTAAATTTATATAATTAAATATCTTTTATTTGTGGTTTAATTGAAATAATTTTTTTAAAAAAATTATATTGCCAAGTGAACCAATCATCGGTGGGTAAAACCCTACTTTTATATGTATGATTTTCCTTCTCTTCTTCTGTATGAGATTGAAGAAATTTTCTTCTTCAAATATCACTTCACTTAAGAGATATAAGAACTTCTTCTCCATCAAGATAATCTTGGCCTTCTCTTCACTTAAGCTTTGAAATGTGTCTTTAGAACGTCATTCTTCATCACCTCTTTCATAGTCTACCTCCATTTCAAGCATTGATTTGTCACTCACCAAATTCCACATATTGTAACTTACTACGTCAGTGTGACTTGGTAAAAACAAATGTTTAACAACACCATCTAGAAAATCGCTATCAAAATTTGTTTCACGCTCAGATTTTTTCTGTTTGGCATACAATAGGAAAGATGGTGATTTATGTTTCTACTTTGTTTCTCGTTTGCTCTATTATTTTATTTGTTGTAAATAATTTCTATTCTCATCAATTAATTTCACATTTCATTAAAAAAATGAATATAATGAAGAGACGTAACTATAAATGAATAGATGCAATTATAAAAACACAATCGTAAAAATAAAAAAGTTTATTTGATGAACTGTTACAACCTTTGAACAAATGCAACTATCTAAAAAACTAACCATAAGGTTTTTATTATATAGTTAAAAATTGAACATATGCAACTTTTATTAAAAAAATCAACCGTAAATTATATTTTATAGTTATCAAAAATGAACTGTTGCAACTTTTGAACAAATGAAAATTTCTGAAAAAACAAAACCATAAAATTTATATTTTACAGTTAAAAATTGATAAGATGCAATTTTCACAACCGTAAAATGAAAAAGTTTATTTGACGAACCTTTGTGACCTTTGAATAGATACAATTTTTTAAAAAACAAAACCATAAAATTTATATTTTATAGTTAAAAATTGAATAGATGCACCTTTTAAAAAACAATACAACCATAAATCGTATTTTATAGTTATTAAAAAAAACTTAACAAAATGTTGCAACAAAAAAACACAGTTGTTCAAAATTTTGATAGTAAAAAACTGAACATATGCAACTTTTATGAAAACATAAATGTTGTAATGGTTCAACTAAACAATCGCAATAGTTTATGAGGTGTTACGATTAAAAGATGCAACCGTAGTATTTATTCGCATTGCAACTTTTTGAAAAAAACAACCGTAAAATATTTATTTTAGTTAAAAAAACAAAATTTAAATCTATATAATATGAGACATAACTTTAAATGAATAGATACAACTATGAAGACACAACCGTAAATTGAAAAGATATAACTGTAATTGAACAAATATACATGTAAAAAACAAATCGTAAATATGTTAACGAAGAGATGCAATTAAAAGACACAATTGTAAAGAAATAACCGTAAATATTTCAACGAAAAGATGCGATAAAAAGAGACCATCAAAAAGAAATAACCGTAAATATTAAACGAAAGGTTGCGATAAAAAGATGCAACTGTTCAGAGGTGCATAAAGCATTTATTGAGATTGCTATTATATATAGATTAACGGTATATTAAATAAGGGTATTATGTTTGTATATTTAAGTCTTTTTTTATGTGTGAAATTTGTCAAAGATAACACTCTTTATGAAACTCATGGATCATAACTACCAAAAAACCATCTTTTTGTAACTCCCAAAAACCAGACCCGGCCCAGAGGGCAAGCCACTGAAGCCACCGATTTGGGCCTCAAAATTTGAGAGCCTTTTTACCTAAAAATTTGTTAAGTTTTTTTATAGGGAAAATCACATTTTTAACCCTCAAAGTGTCATTGGGTAGCACTTTAAACCTCGGGAGATTTCCACTAACACTATAAATCACCAAAATAATTTTACTAACACTTTAAACCTCCAAACTAGTTTTCATGTTTGTACCGCCATAAAATATGATGGAACAATTACTTTATTTTGGTTTAATATAAATTTAATTTAAATTTTAATTAATTTTATTATTTATTATGATTTTTCGATTATTAAGAAACGTAAAAAAAAAATTAGATTCCTCCGATAAATTTTTTTGACATTCTTTAGTTTTTATTATTCTATTCAAGCTTCTCTTGTACTTCATATTCTAAATTATTTGGTTTATATTATTATACTATAAACTTCTCTTGTGCTTAAATCTAAAGTTTCAGAGGTTTAATTTCGAAATTTCATGATCGAATGGTGAGTAAACAAAGAAGGTGAAATTTTTTTTTATGTTTTTTAGATTATTATTAACTGTAATAAATAATCGACGAAAAAAAAAAAGAAAAAAAAATGTAATAAATAATAAAATTAATTTAAATTGAAATTAAATTAAATAAATGTATAATAAACAAATAGAAATTAAATTTTCCATCATTTTTTATGGTGGGACAAACAGAAAAAAACTAGTTTGGAGGTTTAAAGTGTTAGTAAAATTATTTTTGTGGTTTATAGTGCTAGTGAAATTCTTTCGAGGTTTAAAGTGCTACCCAATAACACTTTGAGGGTTAAAAATGTGTTTTTCCCTTTTTTTATATACAATAAGTTGTATAGGGCCTTTTAAAAATATTGTGGGCTTTTAGAGACAACTACAACATTCTTTTTAATATAAAAAATCTAATTTAAAAGAAAATCTTTTTAATGGGCTTTAAATTTTGCTTAGGGCACCCAAATTTATCGGCCGGCAGCATACAAGTACATCAAAGAAGAAATTTAACTCACCTTTCTTCGAAGTAAAATTAATCCATCAGACAGATTGTGAATCACAAGAGGTTTTTAATTGGAAAACTGCAATTCAATTATAATATCACGATCAATATAAATGTATGTATCCTATGTTGGGAAATAATAGTGAGGAAGATTTTATGACGGAAATTCACCAGTAAAAAGAAATCCATTTGTGACATGGAAATAAACCTAAAGAAAACCTTTTTCAAAATTAGAGGGTTTGACAGTAAACCTATCATTTTTATTCGAAAATATGAATTTTATTTATTAGAAAACAATTTTATAATCCACAAAATTAACGGTATAATATGACTTCAATTAATATAGAGTTTAGTTCACCTTTTTGCCTTTATTCTTCTTTGCGTAATTTCTCTCCTCCCTCCAATCGCTCGTTACCGTCAACAAAGAGGGTAGGGTTTGAAAAATTTATTATTTTATATGTACAGAACAACAATATCCCTTAAATATATCTCAAATAATATCTTTATTCATCGTTGTCCACTCACTCTTCTGCCACCGTGCGTAATATGAGTCCACACACCGCCGCGCACTGGTCGGCAATCACATTGTCAGTCAGAGATTTTAAATTACGCCCAATCCCGCTCAAACTATTCTCCCACGTCGTCAATAAAAGGTAAACCTATCTTTTTACGGACATACAAATACCCATTTTTATAAGCCCTAAAGAAAAGTATTTTATTTCTCTAGTTTTTGTGCTGAAATATGCTCAATTCTACAAAAGCTTCGAAAAAGACTAATTAACATTTTATGGTCTCTAACCAAAAGAAATAACAAACCCAAAACTCGGAATATTTTGGTTACAAAAACAAAATGCACATACTAAAAAATACACACTACTCTTTATATTCTCTAACAGTTTTTATTTTATTTTTTAAAATTAATCGATCAATATATTTAAAACGCACAAATCTAGACAACTCTCTTAATTTTATAATTTATGGGTATGGACTAGATATATATGGTTGTTGCTTCTTCTTCTTTTTTGGCAACGTTTCGTGGGATAATTTAGCAAAGACTTCAATGCAGATACATTAACAATATTCTGCTTTGTGCTTTATGTTCTTCTATATGTTTTGTCATAGTAGAGGTCAGAGATCAACAAAGATAGAAAGAGCACTAGTAGTTTGATCAATACGAAATATGTGAAAAAAAAAAAAAATGTGGTATGTAGTTACTCTTTTTGTTTTTGATTTCATCAATCTCTTAACTAAATGACTAAATTGCTTCAACTTTGTTCAACTTACTCAATATTTAGACTTTTATATATTCAAAACAGACCTATAAAATGGAATGTAAATTCGACTCTTTTTCTCTTTTCATATTCCGATTCTTGGATTTTAGTCTTGGGTGGAGTTGTGAATTTATTCCATTGTCATTTAATTTTAACACATTCCATGTGTATGTTATCTTGATAACTAAACAACTACTAGACATTGATCGGGCCTAGAGCGTCAAGCCCACATGTACAACAAAAAACTCCATGCAGTTGTGAGAAACCGGCACGTTGTTGGAAACCAGAAGACTAAAACGACACGATGTGTTAACAAAAATAGTCCCACATTGCTTAAATCCAAAATATTGACAAGGGAACGCAGAGTATAAAAAGAGAAGTCGACGAATCAAGAAAATTACTTACCTGAACGGGGTCAACTCGCGATCAATGAGGCAAGTGGCCTAGGCTAGTGACCATTGCACATATTGTTGGGGTGCTATGCTTAAGTTCTTCCCTTGAGGAAGAGCCTACCTCCTACGTCATTATTTGTGGCAGCGGGGTTTACGTTCGTGCAGCCCCTACCATTCAACATTAGTCTTAAATTCTCATACTACAAGTAGTAGTCTTAAATTTATGGCCACAATAGAAGATTCGAGAACCCATTTTGGTGGTGCCGTGTATACTCAATAGTCCCACATTGGAAGTATCTTTATTTTTAATCCTAACTAAATCTAAGCAAAACCATAAACACAAAAAGTCCCACATCGGAATTATATATTAGCTTGATAGGTTCTGTTTTGCTATAAATAAAGAGGCTCTCCTTCACACAAACTCATCTTTGCGCTTGGGGCAATGACGCAGCTAATGAGGTCTTAACCGAGGTGCGTCTATTGCTGGTTGAAAACTATTTCCAAACCCCTCCTAGGCCTAAGCTTGTATTGGGCCTTCAAGAATTTCTGTAAGAGCTCCCTTCGGGGTAAACCTCTACAATTCTTAGTTTAATACTAGGGCGAAACCCGCGCTCCGCCGCGGGATATATTTTTAAATGTATGTTTGTTAAGTGATATATATACGTATTTTAAGCTTCGAATATTAGCTTAATTTACATTTCAATATGAATTTTATAAGTTTGTTTCATACAAACCATTGTATAATATTAATTTTCATCAATAATGATTCAAACAAAAGTGTAGTCTCTATATAAATATATAAATAAATATATATGCAGCATTTTATATAAGAAATATGTGGATCTTGGTTCAAGAACTAATCCCATATCTAATTTTACAATCTCAAAATCACAGCAAAAGTTATGATTCCACAGTAATAAACAAAAGCACCACTTCGCCAAACCCACCATCCATACAACGTTACTATGTTATTACGTTATTGGTTTGAGATTAAATTAACTTAAGTCTCTTGGTGTAGTTGGTTTAACTCTCGGTTCAGTGCAAAAATCCAACTAAGCAACTTGGCTGTCTTCAGTGCGTTTACCAATCACTTCTTCTTCCTCATCACCCTCTTCCAAACGCTCTTCACCATCCATATCTACAATTTTCTCTACCTCTTCTTCTACTGCAACTACACCTTCATGAGAATTAACTTCTTCCTCTTCTTGGCATTCCTCTGTTGACAAAAGTGTCAGGAGAAGAGCTTTTAGAAGATTTAAAAAAACTCTTTTAGGTGCCTACACTCTATCAAAATGATGCTCAAATCTTGTATTTAGCTTATAGTAAAGAAATTGGGGAGACTATACGGCGAAGCAACCACGATTCCACGGTGGAAAGATCGGTCGCCGGCGGTGGAGTTATTCTCGGAGGCTTAGCGACTAAGTTTTTAAAATCCAAGGGTTTTTACATGTTTTTGTGTTGTAAGACCATCATCAACGATGTTCTCTTAGTATAGCTCTTATGATTTGTTTTAATATTAATTTTGAAAAATTTATACTTAAGAGGTTGCGTAATGGTTTTAAATTTTGTGTGTGTCCAATGGTAGACTCTTAAAGTTGTGGTTCTTAGAGAAAAAAAAAAGATTAATCTAAAAAAGAAATAAAGTATAGAGATTTGTTTTGTGAAATATGAACTATAGAGATTTCTTAGATGATTAGTATTTTTTGGCAAAAATGTAGAATTACCGATTTGTATATTTAGTAAAAAAATGATTTTAGATTCCAACGATTTTACTACTTGATCATTTAAAAAAACGATTTACTTACACATGAATATTTGCTCATGTTTTCCTTTTGAGAGTGGATCCAATATATCATAGCATTAACATATATTTTGAACAAAAAGATAAGAATATCATCGTATCATCGTATTAGAATATCAAAGGAAGAGATATACGAAAAGGCATAGTTGAAACACTAATAAGAGGATTTGAATCATTACCACACCAGGATTCAATCTACCACTTTTAATGCAGCAACCAAGAGAAGAGATCTGACTAAAGCAAGATTCAACTATCAAACACTTAATGATACAAATCAACCGATTGCTTCAGACGCTTGACTGACTTGAGAGATCCCAATATCTTCTCATTGACTTGGGAGACGCTTGTATCCATTGAAGAATAACTCCCATGGTCTGAAACAGTTGGTTCGATGTTTGTGGTGTGCAGCCTCTGGTGGTTACCAACTTCATGCCAAGACCTCATTTAAACTACAAGTAGCAACTACAGAGGCAAGACTTGAAAGTTGATCTTCTTGTAATCCCTGAAGCCTATCAAGCATTATATCCATAAGCTTCTCCCTGCTAAACTTTCCAAAGGACTGCCACCTCTTGACTTTTAGCTGTCTCATTTTGAAATATGAAGTCTCCTCACATTCATTCAGCTACTTCTGCAAGAGCTTCCCAATCTGCAACAAAATCAAGGTCATTTAAACATACACACATACAACAATCGCATGATAAGGTTAATGCATCCTTTGAGTTACAACATTAAACATACCATTATCTGAAAAATCATGAGCAGCTTAATTATTGCTAGGTACGTTTGTGGAATCCTTTGTTTTCCCTTTATAGATCAATGAAAGCGATCAATAACAGCATAAAAACGCTAAATCAGATAGATAGAATGGGCACTATAGATGAACAGCCATTAGCAGGTGAGACATTTGGGTCAGACTTGAGTCCATTGGAAGCAATACTTTTGATTCTCTACATCGTCGGAATCTCTGCAATCATAATCCACAAATGAACCCTAAAATCGATGAAGCATATACAATCTCCGACATTAAATCTCCGCAACGCATTTCTCATATCTCTCCCAATTTTTCCGATCAAACAAAACATTTAGTAGTACCTTGAAGAAGCACGATCACAATCCAACGCTCGTTGCTTAATGAGAGAAGAACGAGTTTGAAGCTCATCGGATTTTAAAGAAAGTCCCTGAGAAGAGTAGAGATCCGCCAATTGCGTAAGAGCGGCTGCTAATTGCAACCCAAACTTTGTTCTCTCGCCGGAGGAGGAAGAACCCAATCGTGACTGAAGATTGGTCTCCAAAAACTCGAGAAACGAGATCGCCGCCGGCTGCTACGAGATCTTCCACGCGCTCGCTCCAATTTGGTTCACTTACTCTTTCTTCTTCGTTTGATTCCAGCAAAAGAGAAAGACAAAGAAGCGTGATTTTTTTTTTTTTTGCTAAAAGGCGGCTCTTCTAATTAAACCATATTATTCATTTTATTTTATTTTGTTAAGATTAAATGCTAAGAGGCCTCTGAAAACCTGGAGTTTCTTTAAGTGGGCTATTATTTTGGTTGGGCATAGGCCAATGTTTATTTTGAAATTTGATCAGAAAGAGTGACATGGAAAAATAAAATGATATTATTGGAAGACAAAACTGAGCTGTATTATTTGAAATGTTCTGATTGGGTATTGATTTTAGCTGAGGTGTCACCTCCAGAACACTTCAAAAAGCTGAGGTGTCAGCACTGGAGAGACTTCTGCTGTTTTTATTGTATTGATTTATCTCTACAATTATCTTTTTACGTACTCACTGTCTTGGAGGTTGGAGCAACATCGGATGACCTATTATCAAGGTGTGAATGCAACTATGCAAGACTTGTTGGGGTCGAGCTTTGAGCTGTGTTTGATCGCTAGACTCCTCTGTTTCAAGTTTATACTTGTTGGAAGAACTTACGTACTTAACCAATGCACTTAGCTAAGCTGGTCTATTGGTTCTCTTTTTAGGGATATATGTTATAAACATTTGTGTTCTTGCAAAGTCAAGTAAAGTTTATGTTCAATTAAAGGGTTTTCTAATTTCTAGATCATGGAAAAGAAATGTATAGACCCTAAAAGATTGCAGAGTTCAAATTTTCTGTTGAGCCACACAGTGTTCTTTTCTTTTCTTTTTTTTTTTTTTTTTTTTTTGTCAACAGTTATATTAGATCGGCTCAAATAAGCCAATGTTAGGGAAAGTTGTTTACATAGGTGATAAGATGCGGCTGGATACGAACAGTTCGTGCCAGTTTATCCGCTTTTATATTTGCATTTCGAGAAACTAAATATAATGAAAAAAATTCAAACTCTTCCTTGTCACTCTTTATCGCCTCTAAGTATGTTGCGAACGCTGGCCACTCTTGCGGGGAAGACACCATCTTCACCAGGTCTGAGCAGTCTGTCAGAAAAGCTACTTCTCTCTTGTCTTGGCCGATCATACATCTCATCGCCCAGATTAAGGCTTCGACCTCTGCGTGGAGTGAGGTTAAGCTTCTTCTGAGATTTGCAGCTCCCATATCTTGTGTTCCATCAGTCGGATGAGTACAAAACCATCCTAATCCGGAAAATTGATCGCTTTCCTTCCAAGAACCATCTACAAAACACCTAAAACCATTTCCATACTGCCCAGTATCGGCAGTTCTATGATGTGAATGGGTATTCACCACCACCAGGTCTGGAATGTCATCCGAGAGTTCTACCTGTGCTAACTGTCAAGCTTGCTCCTCATTCTCTGCTAAAATAAATGTATGAAATTGAATATAAATATTCAAATTCTGACCCGTTACTGAGTCGAAATTTTTGTTGAACTTATTTTTGGTTAAAAGAAATATATTACTCAAATGTGAATTTTTGACCCGTTAAATTCTTTTCATCATAGATTTAACAATTTATATTCGTTTTTAAAAATTCAAATCTTGGCATATGCATAATTTTTTTTTTTTTTTGTTATATGGATGATATGATGATTTATTTGTTTCATAAAAATAGAATCATATAAAGATGAGAGGTTTAGTATAATGATTAATAACAAATTAATATGGTAAGCTAGATATCAAATCTTATATTTTCATTTTGATTGGTCATTCTTTTTTTTTAAGTTAATAATCTATTTTCGTTTTTAATAATTAAATTAATTAAATTTCATAAATTAGTATTTGACTTGTTTATCCTTAATGAGCTAAATTAATTTACTCTTTATATTTTTATCTCTAATGGCATTTTAATGTAATAACTTACAAAGGGGAAGATTATTAAATGGTAATTATAAATTGTACTCCCCAAATAATACTATAGGATATATATAATAGGGAACACCAAACTTTAAAATAATATTACAAAATAATTTAAATAACAGAAATC